AAAAAAAAAAAAAATAAAAATAAAAATAAAAAATCTTCGTTGATTTTGTCAAGTGATTGTGTTTTTTTCATTTCAAATTAATCACATAAACGTTCTTCCAAAAAAGGGCACAATGAATGAATATGGTATTTTTCTCGGTCGTTAGTGTAGGCAATTAAATTTTGAGCCAATAAAATGACGACAAATGTCAAATTCCATGTCATATGATGAGCCCAAATAATCGACTCACCGAGGCCGGTCAAACCGCCTCATTGCGTGAGATTTCAGACTCGATCGCCTTCGCCCTCAAGAACCAGATCGACCTGCAAAGTGCCGAGGCCCCGCACTCTGACGCTCAAGTCAGAATATTTTTATCTTGTATCTTAAGTAATCTTAAGAGCTTATCCTTAGAAAATTAACCCGGTCCTTTATTTATATGAGGTTTATTGACTTATTCTCCAAGATAGTGAGTTTCCTCAATAAATCAGAATTCTGATGTTTCTCAATAACTGTGTAGATATACGCACCAACTTTCATGAATATCTTCAACTAATATCGTTTATCACATAAATTGGGCTCCAAGCTCCCTTAGACTGGCCTTATTCGAGCTAACCGGTCAGGCGGGTTCACCGAATTATTTTTCGTGCTACATCATCTTTTAATGAGCCCAAATAATCAACTCACCGAAATTGCCGGTCAAACCGCCTCATTGCGTGAGATTTCAGACTCGATCGCCTTCGTCCTCAAGAACTGAATCGACCTGCAAAACGCCGAAGCCCCGAGGCGGGCCCCAACGTAGACACTCCGACGCTCAAGTCAGAAAACAAATATTTTTATCGTGTATCTTAAGTAATCTTAAGAGCTTATCCTTAAAAAATTAACCCGGTCCTTTATTTATAAGAGGTTTAATCCTTCCCATTTTAAGCAGTGGCGTCAATCACAGTCTTGCCCTTATCATTGACCCCCTTTGGGGTTCCAAGCGCGTGGAGAGGGCTTTTACCCTTCCCTTGGGTCTATCCGAGCGTTGGAAGGCCCCGACTGAGTCGCACGATGGCGATGTGGCAGAGTGGGCCGTAGCTTATCTGCGCGAATGTAGCAATCAGCCGCTATATGACCCACATGACTGCACGATGTGCAAAAAGCGGGGATCTTCTCATAGATCACTCGTTGAGCAAAGATCTTGATCCCTGCTCAATCTCATGGACGGGCTCGACCCGAAGGTCAATCTCTACACAAAACCGTGCCACGTTAGCCCTTGACTGAAGGGCCATCGGAGCATCGATGCAAATCGGCTGGCCGATACACTTGCCCAGTGTAGTGATGGAATGACGATCGTAAAGGTGGGGCGGGAGGCCGAGAAGACGGCACCACACGGGGACGATAGGCGTCTCCGTCTTCGGGTTGAACCCGGAAGTATACTTGAACACCCTAGCTGGGCATCCATACACCTGAATCGAGAACTTAAGCCAAACCTCATTATAATCATCGAGAAGATGAAAAGTGAGTTGGAGATGATTGAAGTTGTATCACTTATACAAATCTCTACCCTTAAAACCCAATTTGCCTAATCCAGCAGAAATATCTCGTGGGGCAGGGATAACAT